CCAGCCAGGATTCTCCGCTTTTAAAGCTATTAAATGTTGCAGAGTTTCTGCGGCATCTGTTTTAATTTTATCACGTGACAGAATTCTGAACTTTTGAATAGCATTATATAAATCTTTCTTATCAAAGTATTTGCCCAGATATTTCGCCTTTAAAAGATTATATTGCATTTTGGCGCCCATACCTTCTGCAGACTGCGTGTAGAATTTTATATTCTTTAGCATTTCTTTGAGAGTTTACGATAACGTGGTGCTGTTTGGACGACTATAGGGTTCATTTCATGAGTATGTTTATCTTTAAATGAAGTATAAACTATCTGAGCAGAGCCTTTACGACTATTAAAATTCACATGCTACTGACAATTAACAGCTCCAGAAGAATGTTTACACTGTTTAGTAATATCAATTGCTTTTTTTGCTTTATGAGCACGTGAATAGGAACACTCATAACTGCGACGACGAATACTTGAATAGTCAGAATGAAGATCAGTTCTACTACGCCAGAAAGAAAAACCTTTGCATTTTCTATATGATTCTATAAATGTGTCTACATCATCCCATGTATTAAACGTGAGGCCAATATATAATTGTAAGACGTTTTGTTGTGATTCTTCATCACTGAGAGAGTCATGTGAACTGCTTAAAAATTTTTTATTATTATACAAACACATAGATACAGTATAAGCAAATTAAGAGCTTGAATCTATTTTTAACAAAATACCTGATGGATTTTATTATTAAATTTAGTATCCAACAGATATGAACCCAAGCTCTAAACAAACCTAATAAGAAATACTGCTTACCTAGTTTCAAATAGCATTTCATTGTCTGAACTGAAGACTGCTTCATACGGCGAGCTAATTTTAAAATAGCAAATTTTGGGTTAGTATTTATTTTTCGCATAGATGGAAGAGATAAATTTTCAGCCAGCTAGTGCCCGAAGAGCTCCCAGCTGATTGAAAATTACAGTATTATTCCTCGAAGTGAGAAATAAAGGTGTTATTTTTCACTTAATATGTTGTCATGGTGTTTTTCGACTTAAATAACTAAAAGAATTACAAACCAAAAGTTTGCTTTTAATATTACACAATCATGTTAGTTAAAAAGAAAT